ACTGTTTTTTAGAATAACCAGAATGAATATGGGAAAGCTATGATAAATAATACTTGCTTGTTTCATCGAAAATCTGAATATATAAAGAAAAGTTTACACACATATATATATATATATGCAGATACAAATATAGAACGATTTTGAACCGGTGTATTTAAGTGTTTTTCACTCACAATTTGTTGTTAAACAAATGTTTAAACAATTCTATTTATTCAAGAACGATTTTTTATTGTTGTTGTTTCTCGGAGTGCTAAGAGCAAATACGAAATGAAACATGATGAGTTTTTTCTTTTGTTGGTTTGGAAATCTAAAGTTATATTAGCTTTTAAGAGACTTAAAGCATGATGCCGGTCGAGATTGGCTTGGTTTTAGGGTTCATTTTTTCTGAAGAATGTTTGGAGAGAAACAAAGAAAACTATAAAACATAAAAGATATTGTGAAAGAAAAAAATGCATGCAAAGAAGAGGAAACTTTTTTTCACAGTGAAGTAAAAGTTGTAACCAACATACAGTTAATAAGGCGATCTTCTGAACTGATGCTGGGAAAATGACGATGAAAGCGACGCTCGTGGATACGCACAAGACGAGACCGAGAAGGAGAGGGAAGTTCGACATTGTCTTCCGTAGGGGTGGAAGGATGAGCAACACTGGGCATGCTCACCCATCTTCCCCTCTCTTCTAGACTGCAAAGGAAAAAAAAACCAAAAATAATTTGTCTCCATAGATATTTGATCATAAATTTATCTAAATAACAACTTTTTTGTAAGATGCTCAAATATTTATCAAATATTAATGCCAAAAAGTTGGGAATAAATTTAGAAACGTAAGATAAGGTTGTGGAAATATACAATTAACAAGATATACAAACAAAAAAGATCAATTTTGAAAAGCTGTTGGGAAGAGGCAATACATAAAAGTTTTCGCCAACTGATCTTGGACGGTTACCGATTAAGCTCGTTCGGGTGAAATCTTAATATTTTCTCGGTCTCTGAAAGGTCTTTATGTTTTAGAATAAAAATGATAAAACATAGATTTCAAAACAAACATACTAATTGATGCCATCCCTGACTGCCCACACCTTAATTTCCATTCTTGCATGCAAAACATGCTATTGTGTATAAGATTAGTATGAAAGCAGTGTAAAATTGTAGCAACAGACCAAATGTGCCGTATACGCACTTTAAGAAGCTCAGATTAGTCAGAGAAGTCAAGTGATAGGATTATACAAATTCTGCTACATGATGCAACTTTCCAGTGTTACGTAAGCTTTAAATATGCCGTATATGCACTTTAAGAAACTCAGATTAGTCAGAGTAGTCAAGTGATAGGATTATACAAATTCTGCTACATGATGCAACTTTCCAGTGTTATGTAAGCTTATGATATATACGTATTTAATTTTTTTCCGATAATTTAATACATATATATATGGGTGAAAGGAAGAATTGCAACATAAATTAAAAAGCTTCCGAATCATAAAAAGGCTTCAAATGTCAGTTTGTCTAACCATTAGGCTAATATGTATAGATACTGTATTTCATCTCATCCTATGAATTATATATATTTTTTCATAATACCAATTTGTTCCAGAAACAACATATAGAAAATTAAACTTTATTTTTTATGACAAACTAAGTTTTCGAGTGAATTTACTATTTGGATAAATCTTAAAGGTTCTACCACCAGTAACACATGTGCAGTATTTATTTATGCAATGTTACACAACCTCCTTATGTAGTTTCTATTCAAACACAACTTAGCATGCATGTGTCATTGCTAGACAAATTGAAAGAGTTGGAAAAGTATAGTTATCTCAATTTATTATTTATATTCAAATATTGTACAGTTATTTTTATCAATTACAAAAATATTTCATTCACGATACTTTCATTTTCTGTATAAAAACTTGAAGACTTTAGCGCGATATTTATAATATCAAAGAAACTCGTAACGTAGTTTTAGAAAATTAATTGGTTGGAACTGATAATGCATTTGATGAAATAACATTTACTGTTATGTACGTGATAAAAAGGATTTTAGAGAAAAGTAAATAAAATATATCAATTAAACTGAGACGTTTGAAATTGGATAATATTTTGTACCACAATTATACTGTCTGGCTATCTCTACTCTTTTTCAAAAAACGTTTTGTAAATTACCAATTTATGACAAGGATGACGTGCGGTAAGTATTCAGGTTGAAGCAAGTGCAAAACTGTTCATGTGCAAATTGTTTAGCAGAGGTTATAAAAGCCAGACATTGCCAGATTAAAAAGAAAGACCTTTTTTGTTGATATGTCACATCACTGTTGCTTTGTTCTGCTAGCTTCAATTTCGAATGTGTTTTTTTATGGACAACTTTGGGCTCCTTGGTTGATGTCAGAAAATCAGGACAGGCTACATGTCGACGAACATTACAGACCATTTGAAACTGTTGTTTCTCGTAAATATTATTGGATGGAGAGGAATATCGCACCTTCTCTCTTAATTTGTTGTTACTGTTCATAGAAAATAAAACCATGAAATTACACGAACAAATTCTAATTTAAGATATGTTTACTTTACTTAAAAAGTCAATCAACACGAATCTAATCTAGTATGGTCAGGTCACATGCGAATGATCCAAAATTAAAATAATATACTTTTCACCCAGGATGATTTAGTAACAAATGATATACTTCTTATATAAATAAGATGTTTAACAAAAAACAAGCATTTTATCTGGAGTGGCTTAATAACAAAAAAATTCTTACTTAAATTAGAAGGTATAACTTCTACCTGGAGTTATTTAGTGACGTACAACATATTTATTAACCAAATAAAAATAATTAATTTATATCTTGAATCGTTTAATAATGTACAAGATACTTCCATAAGAGGAATGCATAAAGTCTCTATAGAATTGTTTAGCAACAAACAACATACTTTCTACCCAACTAGGAAGGTACAACTCCTACTTGGAATTGTTTAGTGACAAACAACATACTTCCTACCCAACTAGGAAGGTACAACTCCTACTTGGAGTTGTTTAGTGACAAACAACATACTTCCTACCCAACTAGGAAGGTACAAGTCCTATTTGGAGTTGTTTAGCAACAAACAACATACTTTCTACCCAACTAGGAAGGTACAACTCCTACTTGGAATTGTTTAGTGACAAACAACATACTTCCTACCCAACTAGGAAGGTACAACTCCTACTTGGAATTGTTTAGTGACAAACAACATACTTCCTACCCAACTAGGAAGGTACAACTCCTACTTGGAGATATTTAGTGACAAACAACATACTTCCTACCCAACTAGGAAGGTACAACTCCTATTTGGAGATATTTAGTGACAAACAACATACTTCCTACCCAACTAGGAAGGTACAACACTTATTTGGAGATATTTAGTGACAAACAACATACCTCCTACCCAACTAGGAAGGTACAACTCCTACTTGGAGTTGTTTAGTAACAAACAGCATACCTCCTACCCAACTAGGAAGGTACAACTCCTACTTGGAGTTGTTTAGTAAAACAACATACTTCCTACATAATTAAGAAGTTATAACTTCTATCCCGAGTTGGTTAGTAATAAACAACGCATTTCCAACCTAAATACGAAAATATACATTCTAGAAGCAGGTGTTTAACAACAAATACCTTATATCCTACACAAATAAGAATTTATACCTGCTACCTGGAATTGTTTAGTAATAAACAACATTTCTTACGTAAATAAGAAGGTATATATTTTACTTAGAGATGTTTAATAATAAACCAGATGTTTCTTACATTACTGAGGAGATGTAATTTCTTAATAGAGATGTTTAACAACACACTTCCTACATAAATAAAAAAGTGTAATTTTTACTCAGAGTCTTTTAGTGCAAATCAGTATTTTACTTTTTTCACACTTACAGCACTTTAACTTAACGGTTTTTGTAAAGATACAACTTAAACTATGTTTACATTCTCTTTTTGTAATTCCGATCATCTCCTATCGTTACTTTTTTAAAGTATACAGACCTGATAAACGTTGTATGCAACACCAAACCAAGTACTGCTTCTCCTGCGCCGAACCCAGTTTTGCTTCGTGCAAGATTAACCAGAATTATAATTGCTGGAAATTTCGTGAAATAACTAATTTCCTCTCATTGTTATTTGAGGCTATACAGAGAAGTGGAATAAAGTATTCTTATCATTTCAAGGTAAGAAAGTCATAAAAAAGAGATGAGTTTGTTGTCAAGCGCAAAGCTACAAAATGGGCTATCTGTGATGCCCCAGCACGGGTATCGAAACCCGATTTTAGCAGTGTGAGCCCTCAGACACTTACCGCTGAACTGTTGGGGGACAAAAGAGATGAGACGTTTACGTAATAACGAAACCATCAGCCTTATATCTAATACTACCCTAGCGACAGATGGTGGTCGTGAAGTCACGACGCATACAAGAAGTAACCCAATTAACTAAATTGCTACAATTTATTTTTCAGGCGGGACACTGTATCTCAGGGTTATTTCATAATTATTTATCTGATTAAAGTAGCATGATGCCAATTCGTATCTCGTGTTTTAAGAAATAATGGTGATATGCTGACGTTTGTTGACCGGTCTTAGCTGGGGTAACATTAGCAACTGCGAGCTCGTCAGACTACGAAGAACTGTAAACAATACCTAACTACAAAATCCTGGTACAGAATGACCTAGCTCGAAAGGTAACTATTTCATGGATAAAGATAAATGATGATACAAAAATGATTATATGTATACATTTATATATATATATATATATCTTAATACGTACAAACTATTATTGTGGTTAGGGTGCTCGACTCGCAATCTGTGGGTCGCAAGTTCGAATCCCCGTCACACCAGACATGCTCGCCCTTTCAGCCGTGAGGGCGTTATAATGCGACGGTCAATCCCACTATTCGCTGGTAAAAGAATAGCCCAAGAGTTGGCGGTGGATGGTGACGACTAGCTGCCTT